TTTTTTATTATTACTTTCTTTCTTTTCGGTCGATATAATAGTTGGCAAAGCACTGTTTGCCAAAGAAAGTTTTGCCGGTGTCGGTTCATTTATATCGACCTTAGCTAGTAAATAGTAGTTGGGGGGGAGCTCACTCGTGAACCAGGGTTCACGGGCTACTAAGCATGCCTCGCTTAGCCTGTCACAGGTCAAGGGGCCCCCTAACCTGCTTGTAAACCTAGTATTTAGCTAGTACACGTGACTCCTTCCTATTGTATAGAAGGAGTCAGTTCTCTTACAACCAAAATCAACAAGAACAACAAGCAACAATTGAGTATTTTACCACCGAGTGTTTTGCAATTGCAAGTACTTTGACGACGTCACGACTTTTACGAATTATTACGAGAGATCGCTACCGGCGATCCAACACTTACGTAATATTACGAAAGTAAAAGGAAATCCTTAGCAGTAAGAGTGCTAGCGCTAGTGCAATGATAAAGCGTTAGCTCGAGCGTTGTATAGCAAAGGATTAAGTAAGAATTACTCTTTTTCTTTCGTCGGCGAAAGCTTGTATAACGAGCCGTGACTTCTCGAATGAGGTTGCTGTTTCTTTGCTTTTAAGCTTATTAACAAAACGAAAACTAAAAATACGCTTTCTTACGTGCTCTATAAGGTCGTATAAGATGAATTCAAATACGCTTTGTGCAATCAAGCTTTCGATCTTACGCTGCTATAAGTCTTCGAAAATTTCGTTAAGAATGGTAATCATACTTTCGGCCCGTAACTTCGTAGCTAGCTCTCGGTCTATTTGCTCTTTCCGAGTCAAGAAAGTGTCACTTAAAGCGGTAAGAAATTGCGCTAGTTCTTTAGCCTCCGTGCAATAACGCTTTAAAAGTCGTTTGTTTCTGCTACTTCGACATAGCGCCTCTTTTACTTGTTCTACTAGTAGTCTTTCTTCTTCGAGATGCTCTTTTTAAGCAGTATTTTCTTAGTAATATAGCTTGATTACCGTAGCTTTAAATTAGACTGCCTTGTTATTGACTTAGACCGTGCACGTATAGCCTTCTATCGCAATAAAAGTATAAAGACTAGTCTATTGCGCGCGCTAGTCCCTTTTCTTTTCTCTTTATACTTTTACTTGGCTTTGCAAAAGAAAAGCTAGCGTTTTAATCGTAAAAGGTCCGTTGCGCATATTCAAAGCGTCTGCTACTTGTTTTACAGCTTGCAATCTTCTTATTTCCGATATAGCCTTTTTAATAGCTTCTGCCTTAATAATAGTAAAAAGAGCTAGTGGATCCAAGTGAATTATACGAAAATAAGCACTAAATATAAAGAGAGTAAGTACTAAGCTTGCTAGCTCGGCGGTATCGTTAACGGCCTTGATTGCTATCTGCAAGATCTGTTTTTTAATTACTCTTAAGTCTTGCATCTCTTTCGAAATGATCTCGTAAGCTCGTCGTAAAAGTTAATAATATCTTTCTACTTTTCTTACGCTATTGTAAGCCTTCGTAAGCATCTCGCTGATATCGATAAACATTATCTTAATTAAACCGCGAAACTTAGCTGCTGCAAAGTTTGTTCTTAAGTCGTAAATAATCAAGTCGAAAAGACCGAAGTAGCTGTTAATCTAATATTCTTTAAGCGCGTTTTAAGTAGTGATAGCCGATATATCTTTTAAAAAGCGCTTAGCTTAAAAAGTAATAGTTAAATCGACGACGTATAATATTAGTCTATTGTTTAAATGCATTACGTTTATAATAATAAAGTAATTGAACTTTAAGTCATCTTTCAAAGTGAACTTATATCGGCTCGAAGTTGTATTATGCATTTGATATTGATAACAAAACCTCTCGATCTTTTTTAAAGTATTAAAATCGATATCATCGTAACCGCTAAAGTCAAAAACCTTTTGCAAGCGTAAAACAAATAAGTAGCCGAATCTACGGTGTAATTAGCGTAGTTCTCGTTCCGTAAAGTGCGCGTCCGCAAAAGCGTCTTTAAGTTATAGCATAAAAAATAAGTAGCCTTATTTACGAATTATTAAAATACGCTTGTTGCTTTAAACGAGCATATTATTAAGATTATTATAATAGACTTAAAGTCGGTCTATATCTTCGAGTAAGATAAAGAAAAAGGTCTTTATATTAACAATATAGAATTCGATGAGTTTAAAAAAAGTATCTATTATTACAAAGCTTATAACACGTATAATGTTGCTTCCGAACTTAATAGTATTCTTATCGGCCGTTCTTCGGTTGATTCGAAAAAAGAAAAGCTTGCTTAAAGCCTTAACTTATTGCTCTTTTGCAATAAAAAAGTTAGCTGCTTTAAAATCGAAGATAAACTTTTAAAATTTACAAGCCGAGTATCGGTCGAGTAAAAAGTGCTTTAAAAGAACGATATTCGAAAGTAGCTTGAATAAGTCGATAAAAGTAAAAGTATAATAAGTTGCATTCTCGAGCAACGCTACTATTAAGTGTTAGCCGTTAATAGTTTTTAATTTAATAGAAAATTAAATTGCGGCCGCTGATTGTTAATCAAAAGTGATTTAAAATTGCTAGTCGAAGCTTTATACTCTTTCTACTTGTACGAAATAGTGAGTATACTTTTTAAGTCTTACGTCCTCCGTATAATATTAAGCTTAGCGTCTTTAGTTATCGTAAGACTTCTTACGCTTTTCGCTATTATACTAAGTAAAGAAGTGACCTAACTCGCCGCAAACAAAACAGCGTTTATCAACGCGATCAGCACGGGTTGTTACGCCTTCTCTTCTTTTGCTATTACTACCGTAATTGCTTCGATTACTTTAGCTTCGACTGCTAGTTCTGTCATATCTTCTTCTAATATAGCCTTTAAAGCTTCTACTGCTATTACCGTTGTAACTACGGCTTTTATTACTTCCGCTGCCTTTATACTAGCGGTCTACGTAATAAGCTTCGTTTTCGTATTAGTCGCTCGACTCGGTAGCATCGATAAAATAAGCGGTAGAAAGTCTAGTCGTCGTAGTAATAGCAATCAATAATCGTAATTAAAAAACAAAAGCGGTAGTCGTAAGTGCGAGATTATATTAAGCAAACGCATATTCAAAGACGCTTTGTACCGCGCTTAGAATCACGTCTCTTAAAGCTTTATCGAAGTGATATTCGAAAATCAAATTACGCTAAATAAAAAAGAGTTTCTTAACTATTAGCGTAAAGCACTTCGATTTATTTTTATCGGCGTTCTCTTTAAGACTTATTATTGATTGAAGTATAAGTAATCTCTATTCTGATAAGTACTTTTAAGTAGACTTCGGAACTTTAAACTTAGACTTTATAAATGCAATTATTATTTAAAACTTTATATCTTTGCCGTAGATATCGGTCATATAATACTAGTATGCCTCGTTTTTAAGCATTAAAAAGAAAGCTATTGCGTAACTTACCTTATCGCTTTAAAAAATACTTAAGCGTATGTAGTTTTTATAAAAAATCTTAAGCTTATCGATAAAGACTTCGTATTTAACGCTTTTATATTTCTTCTTTGTGTTTTAGTATACCTTCGAAAAGTCATTAATCTATTTGACGTAATCGCTAGTTCTTGCTCGAAGTAGTTTAAGTAATCTAACGTAAGAAAAAACGGTTGTGTCAAGTAGTAAAAGGATCTAGTATTTAGCATTGATCTCTTTACTAAAGGTTAATATCGAAGTCGAGAAAAGACGTGCGGTTAGCAAAGCAGCAAAGCCTCGAGTATTAAAAGGCTTATTTAATAGTATACGGTTAGTACTTATAGCTAGTTCTTTTTGCTCGATTGTAAGTTCGATTGCAAGCTTAATAATTGCAAGCTTAGTTATAAGCTCGATTATAAGTGTAAGTGCAATCGCAAGCGCCGCTAGTATAATAGTAAATACCGTTATTGCTTTATCTTTAGCTTGCTGCTTCTGCTTAAGTGCTATTTTCTTAACCTCTTTGACTTCTTGTTCCGCGATAATCTTGTTTTTAGTATTTTTATAAACAGAAGTCTATAGCTCTAGCTCGTCTTCTTAGCTTAAAACGTAAAAGATTAATACTTAAAAGATACTTTTAGCTAGTCTGACCTACACTCTACTTATCACGAAGTGTTCTCGAAGCTAGCGGCAGATCGATCGGTAAGCGTGTCTTTATATCTTAATCGTCTATTTATCAAAATCTTATAAAAAGATCTCGAAAAAAGACTCTCTTTGCTTATTATTGTACGTGTCTTTATAGCTTTCCAAACACATAGCGATGTAGCTATTGATTGTAAAAAGGTCTATAACTTAAGCGAAGTTAGTAAAATCAAAGTCATATCTCTAAGTCAAAAAATTGATTTAGCATTCTAGTCTTAATAGTACAAGTCTAGCTAATACGTTCGGTGTAGCTGAATAAACCGATATATTAATAGCGAATTCGTGTATAAAAGAAAGAATTCGTAGTAGTTAAAAAGTAAGCGGGTGTAATAATAGATCTGCTAGCTTGTTAGCCAAAGAAACAGTTCTTTAAAAAGAAAGGTAAGAATCGTGCTCGCAAAAAGTTGTCCGCTTCTTAGATCTTTTCGCGCGTGATAAACGCAATCGATTCTCGTAAGGGTTGTTCGATTCTCGATTCTTAGCCGAAAACCGATAGTAAGTATCGTTAGCATAAGATAAAAAGCGAAATTAGTAAAAACTCTTTAAACTTAATCTTATCTCTTTTAAACCTTGCGAATCTATAGTTTATTCAACTACTAATCAGTATTAATACATAAGTGTTTAATAGTACTATCGTTTTAAGTATTAGTTGTGTTGTAGATGTCTAGTATTACTATACTAGTAATAGCGGTCCTTTAAAGGGACCGCGAGTGCACGTGCTACCCT